ATAACAAATCCTTATGGGATTTGTGCAGGCATGATCATGAATCTTTCGAAAACAATTGTTCGCCTTCGGACTTGTGTTCTGATGTTACAATAGGATTATTCTGAAATTTGAGGAACTTTCCTTTTGGTTTCAGACATCACTGAGACCGGAACAAATGAACTGGATGTGCATGGGTTTTCGCCCAATGAATATTGGTATTTGTCGTAGACTGGCTGCTGATCGCAACACATGTTCGTATCATATCAACCCTCCAGGTGGCGAATTTTGCGTGCAACAGTAAACATAATGCAATGGAAACTGTTAATCCCTTCTCGTTGAGACTCGCCAACATCTTTCTTCTCTCCGCCCTAAATGAAATCACAAACCACCCTCGGTTTGGAAGTAAGTACCCGGAAGCAAGGCTTGAAGCGTCAGACCTATTTTCTATGAAAAGACGCCTTAGGGGTGACCTCATAGAAACATTTAAGATAATGAAAGGATTCATTGCCGTAAGCAATGTTCACTCGAACGCCCGTAGAGATCCCCGGGGGACAGGGGCTCGCCTCGGTGTGCGGTTTAAATTCTACACGAACCGAATGATTGATAGGTGGAATCAGCTGCCACCGCACCTGATGGAATTTGCGACTACAGTGGACTTCAGGAGGCAGTTAGACATGGTTTGGACCCAACTATACCCAGAGGAAATATAGCAGCGGGGTCTGAGGTTGTTTAGAGCTGACATACTTCTTAGAGTATCAAGCTTGGATTAGACCATTCGAATGTTCAGAGGCACCAGGTATTCTTGATTGTCTTCGGTGTGGGTTTCGCTCCTTGGGAGATCGTTAATTCCCCACTGATTTTTATGTATTTAAATGTGATGGAAATGTTTGTGATAATCGACAAAGAGCACTGTACAGTTCCTTCGTCCAGTTTGGAACTCGTCAGCAGTGCGTACTTCTTGTGTCCCTGTCAGGACTCGAACCACGATTGTTCGGGCTGGGACTTCAAACCCTTACCGCTGAGCTACACGGTCGATGGTTATCACACTGTGCGAATGGTTCAGTCAATTTAGATGGTGAATGTTTGGATTAGCCCCTTCGGTTTTTCACAGGTCTTGTGGCTCAGCGGTAAAGGTTTGAAGTCCCAGCCCGAAAAATTGCGATTCGAGTCCTGACAGAAATTATGCATACTGCTGACGAGTCCCAAACACAGGACGAAACAGCTGTCCAGTGCTCTTTGTTGGTTATCACAAAAGTTTCCACCGCATTTGACATGCTTCTTGTTTCCCAGATATCGTACTGGAACCAGTTTCCTGCCGGGAAACAGTTGCAAGACAGCGACTGAAACGAGTTTGAAGCTTTGGAAGAAGAAAACCTCCTACTGAAGCAAGAATCTTGATTGGCGAAAGCCTTTTCCTTCGTGTAAGCTACACGGCCCTGACGTACCTTGACTACCTTGACCAAACTTTTTCATTTATTATACGTCCGAACTCATAGGCTTGAGGATCTATGTGTGCATTATGAATTGGCTTTCTTTTTCTAAAATCTTGAACCCCCTTGGGTAGAACGTACGATTTGTAGAAACAAACTGATGATTTCCCGAATCAGAACAAGATTGGACTAAGGAGATTTCTTTCCGTTCCCGGAATGGAATCGTAATAGATAGGGAGTAATGAGCACAAAACATCACGTACACGAACTAAGTGAGTTTCTGTGGTCGACTCATCCCATACATCCTTGTCCCCGTTATCACTCCATTACCCCTGACAGATGATCAGCTATTCTCGGTCAGTAGTTTCGCGCGCGAACGTTTTCAAGCACGTGTGGGCGACTATTATGAGTGCATATCCACAACCAATATTGTGCTGGAACCAAATGCCAATGACACTGTGTTCGCATGGGAAGAGAAGAGTGTGGAGATGGAGCCCACACTTCAACTGCCCGGATTTCGTGTGATTTTGACCATGACAGACGTTCGATCGCAAGCATTCGCGGATGTGAATGTGCCCGAGTTTACCGGAGCTAGTGAGTGACTACTAATTGCCTCTTTAAAATGTCATATGGTTCATTTATTTTTGCAGACTTTATCCTTTAAATATGGTACCAAATTTATGGTACCTAGCTGAGATGTTATTTGAAAACTGAACTCAACTTACAGTGAACAAATTACAATAGTACTTTATCCACCAAACGGAACCAGTGACTACTGAGTGTCATACAAGTAGTCAGATGATGAAGCACACAATTTTCAAACAAAACAACAGTGGCAAACTACCTCGTTCATATTGTATTGTATTGCGCATAACTTTTGCAAGTACTGGAGCTCACATTTCAGGTAAAAAATCATACCCGCTAACCGTCACAATGCACATAATCAACGGGGTGAAAAGTTCCCGCAGGCATGGGGACATTCAGAATCCAAGGTTAAGACGAAGTTCACTTATTGTTCGCTCTTTGTTTGTGAGTAAACGAGCAAGATACGGTATGAGTGAATTGCGGTATGCATTAATTCAAGATGAAATTTGGCGGAATTGGGAGCATGTTGAATGATGGAAATGGCAAAGTGTCAGTTCTGTATGCAATGGGTGGTCCGGATCTGTGAGAATCCTCTCGCAAATTTCACACGTCATATTCTGAAAGCCTTACAGCTAATTCATTCACAGGAATAGAAGAGACACGGCTAATAACGGTTAGAACGCGACGTAAGACTTGGAAATCCTGGTTGAGTAAACCAGGAAAAATAACCGTGGAACAGTAGAGTAAGATGGGGAAAACACATTGATAAAAAAAAGTAGAAATAACTGACTAAGATGCGCGAAACTGCCTGAGCTTTCGTATTTGAAATGAAAGGCGTCGCAGTTTACCAGTGCAGTTGTGGATGTGGGTTGACCAATAAGATTGCTATCTATGGTTACACCAAGACATTTGACAGAGTTCACCCTGGATAAAGGATTGTTATTAATCACTGTGGGGTCTGTCGGATTTGGA